CGTGCCACCGCATTCCAGCCTGGGTGACAGAGCGAGACTCTGTCAGGGAAAAAAAAAAAAAAAATTCTATCAGAAATTCCATGTAGACTTGTTTCTTTTTTTAAACACAGAGTTTGAACAACTGATTCTTGATGGACACAAGCTTCCTTCTCTCGTCTGTGTGATAACAGGTACCGCCTGGGACCCTGGGTGTCTGTTTGGCTGGGGGAGGGCGGACGGGGAGGGGCACACAGCCTTTGTCCTGCGCTTCCCATGATCTTGTCTCCTTAAACCTCACTGCAGCTCTCTGCCATAGGGTCTTATACTGCTTGGCATGGGGGAAACTGAGGCTCAGAGGGTTTCATAGCTGGGCAGGGAGCCCAGATTTGAATCTGCAGATAACAGGCTTTTACTTTCTCAGTAGTTTTCAAGCATATCTTTGTTGTTGTTGTTACATCACTGGTGTCTTTTTTTTTTTTTTTTGAGACAGAGTCTCTGTCGCCCAGGCTGGAGTGCAATGGCGCAATCTTGGCTCACTGCAACCTCCGCCTCCCATGTTCCAGCAATTCTCCTGCCTCAGCCTCCTGAGTAGCTGGGATTACAGGCACCCTGTACCACACCCGGCTAATTTTTGTATTTTTAGTAGAGATGGGGTTTCACCATGTTGGCCAGGCTGGCCTCGAACTCCTGATGTTAGGTGATCCACCCACCTTGGCCTCCCAAAGTGCTAGAATTACAGGCACGGACCACTGTGCCCGGCCACGTCATTGGTGCCTTAACCAAGCCTCTTTTAATTTTTCAAACGGAGGCCGGGCGCGGTGGCTCAAGCCTGTAATCCCAGCACTTTGGGAGGCTGAGACGGGCGGATCACGAGGTCAGGAGATCGAGACCATCCTGGCTAACACGGTGAAACCCCGTCTCTACTAAAAAATACAAAAAACTAGCCGGGCGAGGTGGCGGGCGCCTGTGGTCCCAGCTACTCGGGAGGCTGAGGCAGGAGAATGGTGTAAACCTGGGAGGCGGAGCTTGCAGTGAGCTGAGATCCGGCCACTGCACTCCAGCCTGGGCGACAAAGCGAGACTCCGTCTCAAAAAAAAAAAAAAAAAAAAAAAAATTGTTCAAACGGAAGAGCCCCTGTCCCACAGTTACTGCTTCTGAGCACTTTTGAGGTGATTCAGTGAAGAAGGAGAAAAGCAGAAGCGGTGTGGGAAGAGGCAGGGTCTGGGCCAGCTACTGGTCCTGCTCTCCTCCCTCCTCTGGCCTCTAGGCTGCCAGGAGTAGCTTGGAACCCACGCCATGTGCTCTGGGGGCTGTGGCAGGGCAGGGGGAGCCTTCGTGTCCCCTGTGCACACCACAGACAAAAGGCTGGGTCCATCTAGTGGGCGGTCAGGTGCCAGGCCAGTGCTTACCCCGCTGTGTTTGCAGCCCGAGGCAGCTGGCTGCAGGTGCAGGGCTGTGCCTCAGGGGTCAGGGTGCACACCCCTGCAGGGCTTGGGGCTCCTGGGTTGCTTCTGGAAGGACCCGGATGGGGCCTGGCTGGAGCTGCCGAGCGGTGGGGCTTCTGGGAAAGGGATCCCTCCTGGGGGGAGTCTTGGGCCTGGGGCCATGTGACAGGGACAGAGACGGGTCCATGGCAGTGTCTGCTCTTCTCTGTGAAGGCAAAGGGCCTCTGAGGGAGTATTACAGCCGCCTCATCCAGCAGAAGTGTTTCCAGCGTGTCCAGGTCTGCACACCCTGGCTGGAGGCCGAGGACTACCCCCTGCTTCTAGGTGAGAGGCCGGCAGGAGGCTCAGGAGGAAGCGGGGCCTTCAGTGGGGGAAACAGGTGGGTGGAATGGAATTTTCCTGAAAAGGTGGCTCTGGAGGCCACCTGGGGACAGGGCCTGGCCTGCTGCCGAGACCTCTGGCTGAACTCCCAGGAGGAGGCTACTTCCTGGTGTGCCAGCCCCTCCCTGCCAGGTGACCCCAGAGGCTGTTTACTAAGGGGTTTGAGGAGGCCACGTCCTTTCAGCCTGCCACGCCCTCCATTCAGTCCTCTTCCTTCCCACAGGAGGGCTGGGCCTCGGGTTGGGGCCACTGTTGCCCAGGTGTGGGAGGGCAGTGGCTTTGGGAGGTACAGGGACGATGTGTCAAACAGCGTCGCCTCTCCCAGTGAGATGGTTCTCCCTCGCCTCCGTCTCTTTCCCGTTGATTTCTCCAAGTGGGGAGTCGGCTTGGTCCTGATGTGTCTCTAGAGCCGCATCTTCCAGCCTTGAGTGAGCAGAGCAGTTGGAGGCTGAGGGCCTTTTCCTGGCAGGACTCTCTAGCTAGTCTGTTTTTTAGACAGTTTTGCTCCGTCGCCTATGCTGGAGTGCACGATCTCAGTTCATGCAACCTCCGCCTCCTGGGTTCAAGCGATTCTCCCACCTCAGCCTCCTGAGCAGGTTACAGGATTACAGGAGCCCGCCACAACACCTGGCTTATTTTTGTATTTTTAGTTGAGATGGGGTTTCACCATGTTGGCCACACTGGTCTCGAACTCCTGACCTCAAGTGATTCTCCTGCCTTGGCCTCTCTAAGTGCTGGGATTCCAGGCATGACCCATCACGCCTGGCCCCGGCTAGTCTTTAGAAATGTTAAGCTATTTGGCTTTATTTTCACGGTGACAGCTGGTTTGTGGTGGGTGTGCTGTGGTTTATTATTATTATTATTATTTTGAGACGGAGTTTCGCTGTTGTAGCCCAGGCTGGAGTGCAATGGTGCGATCTTGGCTCATCTCTACCTCCGCCTTCCCGGGTTCAAGCGATTCTCCTGCCTCAGCCTCCTGAGTAGCTGGGATTACAGGCACCTGCCACGACGCTCGGCTAATTTTGTATTTTTTTTAGTAGAGATGGGGTTTCACCATGTTGGCCAGGCTGGTCTTGAACTCCTGACCTCAGGTGATCTGCCCACCTTGGCCTCCCAAAATGCTGGGATTACAGGTGGGAGGTGAACCTGGGAGGTGGAGGTTGCAGTGAGCCAAGATTGTGCCACTGCACTCCAGCCTGGGTGACAGAGTGAGACTGTCTCAAAACAAAACAAAACAACAACAACAACAAAACCAAATTGTGGTTACGTAGAAAAAGTGTCAACTTACATTTTCAGATGTCCCAGCCAGGCCGTGTGGCTGCTTGGCCAGCTTAAGTCACTTGTGTTTGGGGCTGTCGGGGGCCTTTTCTGATTTTCACTCCCCTTCGGGGGTGTTGCCTCACTGTGCTGGGAGGATCTGTGTTCCCAGGGCAGAGGCCAGCGCTCTGACCGCACCCCTCTTGCCTAGCAGGGTCGGCAGACCTGGGTGTCTGTCTGCACACGTCCTCCAGTGGCCTGGACCTGCCCATGAAGGTGGTGGACATGTTCGGGTGCTGTTTGCCTGTGTGTGCCGTGAACTTCAAGTGGTAGGAGCAGAACCCGAATCTTTCTGGGGATAGCTTCGCAGATCCACCGCTGAGGGGGACGCAGTGCAGAGCGAGCTGCCCACAGTGAGGCCCTGCCCCTCGGTCAGTGCAGCACACACTGGAGCCCACTAGGAGGAGCCCTGCGGTTACTGTGGCTGGGCTTGAGCCTCACGGAAGTCGTTGCTTCCATTTAGAGCTCGTGTTACATTTAGGTTGATGCAAAAGTAATCACGGTTTTTGCCACTAAAAATGGCAATTACTTTTGCAACAACTTAATATGAAAAAAAAGCATCTTAAATACCAGAACTCCACTTGGGGCTTTTGCTCCTAGAGTAGAATTGGCGGGAATTGCCTGCAGGCTTACATGGTTTTCTTTGTTTCTCTCCCACCATGTCCCTTTTGGCCAAGCTCACATGGTGGGTTTGAATCAGCTAAATGAGCGTCATGCTCTGGCCTCACTCCACCCAGCACAGACGGGCATTTGGAAGGGCGGTGTTAGAAGAGATTCTAGAAGTAGTAGCCCCGGCGCAAGCTGAGTCCTTGGCCCCTGCTGAGGAGCCGGCCCCTGGATGGGATTCAGGGATATGCGCCCCTCGTGTGAGCTGAGCTCAGGGAAATGTGGGGATCATACCTGGTGCCCTAGAAAGGTCATCTTTTATGTGCTGAGCCAGTCCCCAGGGGGTTGCCTTTCCTTGTTCCATGGCCATGGAGTTAAGAAAAGCATGCAAAAATAATTCTTCAGTCCGTGAAGAGCATCCAACACAGAAGGTACAAACCCTCCTTAAGGCTCCCTCCTCAAATCGGTTTGGCCATTTTGATGTGTAACCCTCCCAGGCCTTTATACCCTTCAGATGCCAAATCTCAGAACTAGCTCCCTGAAACCACACCCCCAGCCTGGCCTGAGCGTGGTGGGGGGAGGGGGGTGGGAGCCCAGGTGGGCACCCCAGGGTCTGGTGTCTTCTGCAGGCAGCTCTGAGGCTCCCTTGGTTCTCCCTGCAGTTTACATGAGCTGGTGAAGCATGAAGAAAACGGCCTAGTCTTTGAGGACTCCGAGGAACTGGCAGCTCAGCTGCAGGTAGCCACGTCTGCCACACGCCAGGGTGGGGAGGGTTGTGGAGACTGGCACCGAGCCACGCTCCCTGATTCCTGCTTCCCACAGCCAGGGTGGGACCATGTGGGGTCTGGCGGAAAAGCTAGGGAGGGAGCAGAGGTCACAGAGGCTGGCCTACTCTGCTGTCCCGTTTCAGTACAGTAGGCTGGGGAAAGTTAGGACACACTCCATAGCCCTCTGGATTTATGGAGCTGACACTCCACAAATGATGCTGGAGCCGGTGGGCTGGGCTGCAGTTCAGGAAGTGATGAGGATCAGGTAGGCGGCCAAAGGGAGCTTCTGGGTCCCGCCTTGAAAGATGAGTGGAATTCTGCAGAGGTTACTTGTTTCTTGTTGCAAAAAGTAACACATCATTCTTGCCAACAGAATGATTGGCAGGATTTTCAGTAAAGGTCCAGGTCGGAAGTCATTTAGACTGGGACCCCCAGTCTCTGTCAGAACCATGGGACTCTGCTGTGGTGTGAAAGTAGCCACAGATCATCTGTAGATGAAGGGGTGTGGCTTTGTTCCAATAAAACTTTATATACAGACAGGCTGTGGGCTGGATTTGGCCTGCAGGCTGTAGTTTGTGCTCCTTGATTCAGACAGTTTAGCAAGGCTGAAAAGAACACTGACACCCCCTTGTTACGCACAGATGCGTCGGATTGTGTTGGCCAGAGGCCGAGAGGAGGGTGCTCCAGGGGAAGGCACAGCATGTAGAGGCTGGGAGGTGCTCCAGGGCACCAAGTGTGGGAAAGTGGGATATGTGGGGAAGTTTCCAGAAAGTGTGATGTCAAGTTGGAGGCGGAGCGCTGCTGGGGCGTGAAGGGTCTGAGTCCAAGTGAGGGAGTTAGGGACTTGGGAGGGGGTGTTGCTGGGTCAGGGACCTGGGATGGGGTGGGGACAGGCAATGAGGTAAGCTCTGCTCTTTATTTTTTCGCAGATGCTTTTCTCAAACTTCCCTGATCCTGCGGGCAAGCTAAACCAGTTCCGGAAGAACCTGCGGGAGTCGGAGCAGCTCCGATGGGATGAGAGCTGGGTGCAGACTGTGCTCCCTTTGGTTATGGACACATGACTCCTGGGCCAGAGGCTAAAACCCCAGGACCCCGGCTGCCCTCCCTACAGCTTCTTGGGAGTCTCAGGGCAAACCCTTTCAAGCAGCGCCTCCCAGTGGCCAGTAGCTGAAATGACGGCAGTGGTGCCGCCTGGTGAATGAATTGGTTGGGACCCCGGAAGCTGTGGTTGGCCCTAATTTCTTCTTTGGAGGCTCAGAAACATTTCCTCTCTTCTGTTCTTCACGCCCCATGCCCCTGCTAGCGTATTACTGTTCTGTGACTTCCCCATGACCTCTGCAGGACTCCTCCTCCTGTGTTTGGTCTCCAGGTGTCGCCTTTCTGCCGTGTTCCTAACGTTTTGATTCCTGTCTTGAAAAAAAGCACCGGCTGCACCGTAAGCCCAGGGATGTGGCATCTGCAGCGGGCTTGGCTTTGTGAGGAACTGAGTGTGTCCACGTTGGGGGAACATCATACTTGATACACACATTTTTATTTGTGCAAAGAAAATGCTATTTTTGGAGCCAGAATTTTCACGTCTGATTTATGGTGATTTTCTTAAGAACCAGAACTGCTGGCAGAAAGGGGGCACCCCCACGCTTAGACAGCCGATGTCTTATTAGAGGGCAGTTTGTGGTTCCTGGTTTGGAATTTAACATTCTTCAAACATTCCAGTCCACTGAAAGTTTTATCCGCTTTCCCATATAAAAATTCTTCCCACGATAGTGACTTGATTCTCACAGTCACGTTGGAAGGCGTGTGTGAGGCCTACAGTGTGAGGTTCAGAATTGCCATTTCCAAGTGCTCCTCGTAGGGAAACAGCTTCTGGTCATGACGAGGTTCGGCCTCCCATCTGATCCCGGCCCGGCCTGGAAACAGAGCACATGTGTTTCAGGATGGCGGTGTTTGGGGACAGGACATTAGCTTACTGTGTGGGGCTGCTAGAATAGGCCTGGCAGGGTGGGGGGGTGTCCAAGTCAGGTTACTTGGTTCACAGGTTCCCAGGCCCACCCAGGTACCTAGAATTGGTCTCCAGGATGGGACCAGAAATCTCGTTTTGCATAGAAGTGGCTAGCAGCAGGCACCGTGCCGTTCTCCACACTGCCCGTGTCTGCCCCAGCGCTTGGCACAGCGGGACAGAAGCAGAGATCTGAATCCACATCTACCTGGCTGCTCAGTCAATCCACTCTTCACAAAGCTTAGAAAGCGGCCAGGCACAGTGGCTCACACCTGTAATCCCCACACTTTGGGAGGCCGAGGCAGGCGGATCACCTGAGGTCAGGAGTTCGAGACCAGCCTGGCCAACATGGTGAAACCCTATCTCTACAAAAATACAAAAATCAGCCAGGTATGATGGCGGGTGCCTGTAATCCCAGCTACTCAGGAGGCTGAGGCGGGAGAATCACTTGTACCCGGGAGGCGGACGTTGCAGTGAGCCGAGATTGTGCCACTGCACTCCGGCCTGAGTGACAGAGCGAGCCTCCATCTCAAGAAAACAAAAAAACAAAAAAACCCCACAAAAAACAAAACCACACACACACAAAGCTTAGAAGGGGCTAGTGTTCTGATAAGCACAGATGCCTGAAGAGCCAGTAGCCAGAGTGATTTTCGTTTTTTTTTTAGATACGATCTTGTTCTGTCACCCAGGCTGGAGTGCAGTGGCACGGTCATTGCTCACCACAGCCTCGACTCCTGGGCTCTAGCAATCCTCCCACCTCCCAAGCAGCTGGGATGACAGGTCGTGCCGCCATGCCAGTAGTTTTATTTTGTAGAGATGGGGTCCTGAACACATGGCCACAAGTGATGCTCCTGCCTCAGCCTCTCTTATTTTTTTGAGACGGAGTTTTACTCTGTTCCTCAGGCTGGAGTGCAGGGGCGCAATCTCAGCTCACTGCAACCTCTGCCTCCCAGGTTCAAGTGATTTTCCTGCCTCAGCCTCCCGAGTAGCTGGGATTATAGGCGTGCACCACCACGCCTGGCTAATTTTTGTGATTTTAGTACAGATGGGGTTTCACTGTGTTGGGCAGGCTGGTCTTGAACTCTTGACCTCAGGTGATCCGCCCACCTCAGCCTCCCAAAGCCTCAGCCTCTTACAGTGTTGGGATTACAGGCGTGAGATGCTGTGACCCGGGATGATTTTCATTTACAGTTTTTTGTTACGAGTGGAAAATGCGTATTTATAAAAATGAAGTAGTACAGACATGAACGTGTAGAAGTCTCTATCATCCTTCTGTTAACGTGTATATCAGGGATGTCCAATCTTTTGGCCTCCCTGGGCCACACTGGAAGATGAAGAATTGCCTTGGGCCACACATAAAATACACTAACGCTAGCAATAGCTGATGAACTAAAAGAAAAATCACAAAAAAACCTCATACTGTTTTAAGAAAGTTTACAGATTTGTGTTGGGCTGCAGATTGGACAAGCCTGCCATATATATATTCTAGGTTTTCCTCTATAGGTCTACTAATGTGAAAATGATTATTGTGACAAATGTTTTTTTGACATGAAGTCTTGCTATATTGCTCAAGGTGGCCACAAACTCCTGGGCTTAAGCCATCCTCCTGCCTCAGCCTCCTGAGTAGTTGGGAATATAGGTACTCACAACCATGTGTGGGTGATTATTATTATTTTTTAAACAAAAATGGGGCTGTGCGCAGTGGCTCATGCCTGTAATCCTAACACTTTGGGAGGCTGAGGTGGCAGATCACTTGAGGTCAAGAGTTCGAGACCAGCCTGGCCAACATGGCAAAACCTCGATTCTACAAAAAAATACAAAAATTAGCTGGGCGTGGTGGCATGCGCCTGTAGTCCCAGCTACTCAGGAGGCTGAGATGGGAGGATAGCTTGTACCTGGGAGGTGGGAGGTTCCAGTGGGCCGAGATCGCACCACTGCACTCCAGCCTGGGCAATACAAAGCCAGACTCTGTCTCCAAAAAAAAAAAAAAAAAAAAGGTGGGTGGGGGCTTATACTATATGTGCTGTTTGGCACTGCTCTTTTCACTTAAACCATACTGCAGGTATTTTTTCACGTAAGTATCTGAAGAAAGACTTCCTTTTTTTTTTTTTTTTTTTTTTTTTTTTTTGCTTTTTTGAGACAGGGTGTTGCTCTGTTGCCCAGGCTGGAGTGCAGTGGTGAGATCACGGCTCACTGCAGCCTCCACCCCCTGGGCTCAAGCCACCCTCCCACCTCAGCCTCCCGAGTAGCTGGGACCATAGGCATGTGCAACCATGCCCGGCTAGTTTTGGTATGTTTTGTGGGGATGGGGTCCCATTACGTTGCCCAGGTTGGTCTTGAATGCCTGGGGTCAGGGAGTCCTCCTGCCTCAGCCTCCTGAAGTGCTGGGAGGACAGGCCTGAGCCCCGTGCCTGGCCAGCCTGCTGTGTGAGGTCGTGCGGGACTCTCATGGAACCCAGTGTGCCTTCGTGTGCTGGCTTGTTTGTTGACTGTGTAGTTAACAGGCTCCCCATGTGGACAGGCATTGGGTCGTCTGTCTGTGTGTGCAGGCAGAGGCTGCTGCGGGTGCATCTGTGCGCACGGTTGCCAGGAGGAGGTCTGCTCGGGGAGCTGGGGCAAAGGCTGGTGGCATTGGGGGGCATGGGTGTAGTGTGGAGGCGCGGGAGCCAGGCGGCTGGGCTGCAGTCTGTGGGAGCTCGGGAGTCGCCTGGCCTCCGTGTGCCCTAGTGTCTTTGTTAGAGAGATGGGACAATGACAGCACACCCTCACAGGTGCTGGGGGCTGACAAATGTCAGTTCTGAGGACAGTGGCTGGCCCACTGCGGGGCCAGTTCCCCTTCTCTATAGTCACCCTGTTCGTCCTCCACTGACTGGGTGCTCAGGACAGTGGCGTGGTGGGTCTGCCTGTACAGCCTGTCCTCCAGCATCCTGCAGGCCACAGCTGTGTCCAGCCCTGACCCCGACTGCCTCTCCCACCACCTCCATTTTATAGATGAGGAAACCGAGGCCCAAGGGCTTAGGGAACTCTGCTCCGAAGCACATAGTAGGGCTGCTGGGCTCAGACCCTCCCTCCCTGTGCTGAGCTGCCCTCCTCCTGCCCCAAGCCCCTCCATGCCCTGAGCCCACCCTGCTTGCCAGCTCTGCCTAAGTTCCCCGCATGGTGTGGGGGTGTGGGGCATCCTAGCTTTTCTCCGGTGCCAAGTTCTTTCACTTCCACTGGAGTCTTGCAGGGACAGCTTGGGGACCCTGCAGGCCCAGGAGGGCGTAGGGGCTCACCTAGTTCGGTGGTGAACAGCTGGCATGTCTCCGGGTTGCGGACGGTGAAGGCCACGTAGACCTCAGGAGCCCGCTGGTGCTCCCGGCAGGCAGCCAGCCTCCGCAGGACCCCGACCAGCGACACGATGGCTTCTGGACAATACAGCACATCTACAGTGAAAGCTTCAGGTTACTGAAAGGGACCAGTGGAACGTTCCAGGTCATGCTGACCTCAGCCGCAGGGCGAGGCCAGAGAGGCAGCGGTCACATGAGACTATTAGATGCCATCTGACCATTTGTGCCATTAGATGGAAACGCAGTTACCCGGGTGAAAAAGGAGAACCCTTAGTAGAGAAAGCTGCAAAAGACCAAAGCAAAAGAAAAAGTCTCCAGACTCACTGGTGTTCCTTAAAAAACAGCTCTGGTTCTTAGCCTATCTAGAGGGCTCTGAATGACGCAAAGCCTGACCCTGGTGTGAACGTCGTGTTTCAGGCGTCTGCCGATTTGTGTGCTGGCTTGCAGGGGAGGGCCTGTGTCCCTGGCCACCGCCGGGCCTGTGGTTTCAGGGCTGGGACCCAGGGTCACAGGCCGAGCTCTGTTCGACCAGAGGGGACTGAGTGTGCCGGCAGAGGCAAGGGGTTTTCGGTGGCCCAGCCAAACACCACCTTCTCTCACGGGCCCTGTCCTTGTCCCAGAAGTGGTTGTTTTCCTCCTGTGGTCTCTGAAGGACACGGGGCATGGCTCTGGGACACAGCCATGTGGTGACGACTGTAACGGGAGTATGCCTGTCCCCAACAAGAGGGCTGCGGCTTCAAGGTCACCTTAAGAGGCACCCTTGTCCTTGGATGTCACCCTGGAGGCCCAGAGTAACTCTTCTGGAAGCCCCATCATGTCCATGCCCGACAGCGTCCCTTGTTCCCTTTTCCCAGAGCCAAGAGCTGGGTGGAGCTGCAAGGACACCGCCTGTGCAGGGTGCCCGGGGCTGGGCATTACCTGCCGCGATGACAACATCTGGCTGGAAGGCAGAGAGCTGACGGACTGTCGTGACGTCCCAGTCCAGCTGGGCCACTGTCACCCTGGGGCTGTCTAAGTTGGCAGTGATGTCTGCCTCCAACGAGAGGCCATTGAGAAGGACATTCCCTCGGAGCTGCTCGAGGACCCGGCTGTGACAGTCGCTGAAGATGTATGCCCGGGGGCGGCACATCTTGCAGATGGCCAGGCCTGTGAGGCCGGCGCCACTGCCAAGCTCTAGGACAGTCCTGGCAGAAGGAAAGCGGACCGTGTCTGCAACTGCACCAGGGTAAGCCTGCCTCGGTGCCCCGCCCTGTGCCCCGAGGTCACCTGTCAGTGAAGGCTGCCGGGTTCTCGATGGCCCATTCTGCAAGGTAGAGGGCAGCGTCCCATGTGACCAGGCCCGTGGTGCCGTGGGAGATGATGGCTGTGCTCTCGGAGAGCGTGACCGAGCCTCCCGAGGGCTGCGCAGAGAGAGGGCGTGAGAATCAGTCTAGCGATCAGAAGACAAGTGGCTTAGAAGACAAGTGGCCATCCACCCCATGACTGAATAAACCATGACAGGACCAATCACCACTCAGCAATGAGAAGCAGCTAACTGTTGACATGCCAACAGCTTGCACAGGCCTCAAGGGTATCACGCGGCGTGAAAGACGCTCATCTCAGGCCACACAGGATTCCATTCATCGAACATTCCTGAGACGATGGAATTCTGGTGATGGAGCACAGGTCAGTGGTGGCCAGGGAGGGGCTGGGTGTGGCTATGAAGGGGTGGCTGCCTTGTGATGATTCAGTGTGCTGTGTTTTTCCTTTGTGGTTTTCTGTATCTATGTTTTATCTTTTTTTTTTTTTTTTGACATGGATTCTCAATCTGTCACCCAGGCTGGAGTCAGTGGCATGATCTTGGCTCACTGCAAACTCCGCCTCCCGGGTTCAAGCGATTCTCCTGCCTCAGCCTCCCAAGTAGCTGGGATTACAGGCGCCTGCTACCATGCCCTGCTAATCTTTGTATTTTTAGTAGAGACGGAGTTTCACCATGTTGACCAGGGTGGTCTCAAACTCCTGACCTCAGGTGATCCGCCCGCCTCAGCCTCCCAAAGTGCTGGGATTACAGGCATGAGCCACCGCGCCGGCCTAATTTTTGTATTTTTAGTAGAGACAGGGTTTCACCATATTGGGCAGGCTGGTCTCGAACTCCTGACCTCAGGTGATCCACCCGCCTTGGCCTCCCAAAGTGCTGGGATTACAGACATGAGCCACCGTGCCCGGCCCTGTCAAGTATTCTTTGAGGACTGGGCATTAGGTCTTTGTGAAGCAGGTAGTGTGTGTTACCTACTGGACAAATGCCCATGAGACATGCTGTTGTTGAAGTGCCTGATTTACAGACAGGGAAACTGAGGCTAAAGGAGGTTAACAGACCTCATGTCTAAGACTGCAGAATGGGTGAGTCAGGATTTGAACCCACACCCGTGTTTTCACTTTGTGCAGGAAGGGTATCTGGGCTGTGAGGGGGAGGAGGGTGCCCTTCTCATACCAGCAAATAGCTCCGGTGGCCATGGGGGGACTCCTCGGCCATCAGGGTCTCCGCCAGCGCCTTGTACAGCTCGTCCAAAGGCTCCGTGTGGACAGCCTCGTGCTGGGGGCAGACAGAGAGCTTGTTTGCTTTCGTTCTAATATGTAAAAATGGCCAGATGATTTTCACCAAGTTTGGAGGGGAGATTTGCGACAGAATGGTGTAATACTGGCCAGGTGGCATATAAAATATTCACTTTGCTGGCTGTGGTGGTGTGTGCCGATAGCCCCAGCTACTCTAGACACTGACATGGGAGGACTGCTTGAGCCCCAGAGTTTGAGTACAGCTTGAGCAACAGAGACCTTGTCTGTAAAAAAATAATTCACTTGGTAGGGAAACCTGGATGGGAGGGCCTTCAACAAGAGGTGCTGAGAGGGTAGGGTTAGGGTAGTCTAGGGCAGGAGACAAGGATTCCGTGAGAGCTGTTGCGTGACCATGACAGAGCTCTGTGTTTGGATGAAACACAGAGAGGAGGAAAACCAAAGGTGCTGTTAAGTGCGCCCAGGCAGAGCTGGGAGGGCGGCCCGTGCTGCAGGCCGCGGCTGTCAGCAGGTGGCTTCTCCACAGCTGGCCCTGGCCTACGATTCACAGGGCAGCAGCAGGGTACACTGGGTGACTGCTGCCCTCTGCTGGTGGCACAGGGCAGACCTGCTGGTGACCACAGATGTACCCTTTGGGAAGGACTAGGGAGAAAGCGGGTACTGGAGAAGCAGGGGATTGTTTTTTTGCTAAAAGTGTGGCCCTTTTACTCAGCAGGTCTGCTACTGCCTACTGAGGAACGGCCTCTCTGACATCCTCCCTCATGTCAAACCCTGCATGTTCGGGCCCATCTTTAAAATCCATCCTAGGCCAGGCGCAGTGGCTCATGCCTGTAATCCCAGTACTTTGGGAGGCTGAGGCGGGCAGATCACCTGAGGTCAGGAGTTCGAGACCAGCCTGGCCAACATGGTGAAGCTCTGTCTGTACTAAAAATACAAAAATTAGCCAGGCGTGGTGGCGTGTGCCCGTAGTCCCAGCTTCTTGGGAGGCTAGGCACGAGAATTGCTTGAACCCAGGAGGCAGAGGTTTCAGTGAGCCGAGATTGCGCCTCGGTACTCCAGCCTTGGCAACACTGTGAGGCTCTGTCTCAAATAAGTAAATAAATAAATAAGTAAAAAATAAAATCCATCCTGTATCAGTCGGGAAAGAGCTGATTCCAGCAGGATCACTGCGGAGAATTCACCAGGGGAACTAGTTCCAAAGGTATGTTAAGAGCTAAACCCGGCCGGGCGCGGTGCCTCAAGCCTGTAATCCCAGCACTTTGGGAGGCCGAGACGGGCGGATCACGAGGTCACGAGATCGAGACCATCCTGGTTAACACGGTGAAACCCCGTCTCTACTAAAAAATACAAAAAACTAGCCGGGCGAGGTGGCGGGCGCCTGTAGTCCCAGCTACTCGGGAGGCTGAGGCAGGAGAATGGCGTGAACCCGGGAGGCGGAGCTTGCAGTGAGCTGACATCCGGCCACTGCACTCCAGCCTGGGTGACAGAGCGAGACTCCGTCTCAAAAAAAAAAAAAAAAAAAAGAGCTAAACCCTCCAACAGGGGCCCGTGGCGCAACCCAGAGACGGATAAGAACAGCAAACTCCAAACCCTTCGGCGGGCAGGACAGTGGGTGTGGGCGGGCAGGACAGAGGGTGTGGGCGAGGGTTCCAGTGCCGCGGGCTGGGCCAGCCTGGTAGGAATGAGAATCCATATGCTAGGAGCTGGGGCCCCGGAGAAGCAGCTGCTGCGGAGACCCCAGGAGGCAGCGTGAGGGAGAGACGCTGGCCTCCCCTTATTCCCACCCTGCACTGTCTCCCATGGGTCATACCCAGCTGCAGCCAGTTGCCTGGGAGGCGCCTGCCATGCTGGGGTCTGCAAAGCAGGCCCAGGGCCCGGGAAGGACAGGGGCTCCAGCACGCAGGTGGCTATGCTGTCCGGCTACTGGGCGGACACTGCCGATAACTGACCTTTTTGATGAGTTCTGAGAGAAAGCACCGGGCATACTTGACTGACGGCGGGTGCTTCACACACACAGGGTGCTTCACAGTCTACGGCAAAGGATAGAACGTTGGTTGCTGGGGAGACCCCGTCTGAAGTCTCCTATGAGCTTCAAGCCAACACAGCAGAGGGCAAACTCCGGGCTACCCAATCCCTCAGCAAAGATGTAGATGGACACAGCGTTCTGGCCCCACGCATCTGAAGTTTGTCTTAAGATATAAGCCGTTTCCTAAAAATGCTTCCGCTGCAGCGGCACAGGCTATGGCCTCTTTCTTTTTTTTTTTTTGAGACGGAGTCTCCCGCTGTCGCCCAGGCTGGAGTGCAGTGGCCGGATCTCAGCTCACTGCAAGCTCCGCCTCCCGGGTTCACGCCATTCTCCTGGCTCAGCCTCCCGAGTAGCTGGGACTACAGGTGCCCACCACCACGCCCGGCTAGTTTTTTGTATTTTTAGTAGAGACGGGGTTTCACCATGTTAGCCAGGATGGTCTCTATCTCCTGACCTCATGATCCGCCCGTCTCGGCCTCCCAAAGTGCTGGGATTACAGGTGTGAGCCACCGTGCCCCGCCGCTATGGCCTGTTTCTAACGCCCATTCTGAGCAGGAACACAGGGCATGTGGGCCTAACCACCTCCCTCCCAGGGGAGCCAGTGTGAACCAGGGTTTGTAGGAAGGACAGTCGCCAACTGTCTGGCTGTATGAAAGAGGTGGGAAGGCCCACTGGGCACCTGCTCTCTTGGAGCGTGTGTCCCTGGGGACAGGATGGATGGGGAGGGGACTCTCAGGGTGACATTCCAGCTAAAGCCGAGAGAAGCCAAGTGCAGGACGAGTAAGTTCCAGGCAGCAGGAACAGCCGGTGCAAGCTCCGAGGTGGCCATGGCCTGGCGCTTGGAAAGGAGGGCAGAGGGACTGGTGCAGCAGGAGTGGGGACGGTAGGAAAACAGGAGCCTGGAGGGAGGGAGGAGATGGTCCACAGTGCCTGCTGGCTGGGAGGGACGCAGATTCTGCCCAAGGGCAGCAAAGTAACCCACGCAACACTCAGGCCCTTCAGGCTGGTGCTGGTTTTTCATTTTTTTTTTTTTTTGACACAGAGTGTTGCTTTGTTGCCCAGGCTGGAGTGCAGTGGCACGATCTTGGCTCACTGCAGCCTCTGCCTCCCAGGTTCAAGCTATCCTCCTGCCTCAGCCTCCCGAGTAGCTGGGACTATAGGTGTGCACCACCACGCCCAGCTAATTTTTGTATTTTTAGTAGAGATAGGGTTTTGCCATGTTGGCCAGGCTGGTCTCGAACTCCTGACCTTAGGTGATCTGTCCACCTCAGCCTCCCAAAGTGCTGGGATTACAGGTGTGAGCCACTGTGCGCAGCCTTTTGCTGGGTTTTAAAGCAGCTCTCCCTACATTTCATGCTTCACCACCTACGAGGGTGAGGCTCAGGGTGAAACTCAGAGCAGGGTGTGAGATCACTTCAGGTATCTCCATGCTCGAAGCCCTGACCTACTGTATTGCTCCGAAAGTCTTCCCTGCTGTGGCTGTATCTTTTCCATGTGGATGATCTTGGTTCACTTCTAGCACAGGAATTCTTAACCAGGGCTCCTAGGATGGGCTGGGTGGGTGGGGGTGGAGGATGTCTGCCTCCCCTGAGTTTGTATGGAAAATGTATTCTTCTGATGCGCGTCTTTCTGGGAGGGAGTCTATTGCTCTGTCTTTTCAGAAGGGCTCATGGCCCTTCGAAGGTGAAGACCCAGGATGCAAGGTGATCTGCACTTGGCCCACAGGCCAGGGTCAGGCTGTGGCTGGGCTGGGTGGTGATCCTGCCTCTCACCTGCATGCGGATGCACTTGAGTCCAGACCCCACCCTGGGTAAAGCACGGGCCCACTTATGTCTAGAAGAGACAGGAGTGGGCAGGACAGGTCTCATGTATGCAAAAAAGAAAGTCTCTGAGCATCTCCCAAATGCTAGAAGCTGTTTTGCACCTGTCATCTCTCTTTTTGCTGTGGATGTGGATGGTTTAAAAAACATTCCCTAGATTCCCCCCTTCTCATGCAGATTTTTGTATATTCTGATGTCTCTGTCTAAGTCTTAGATAGAAAACGAAAGAGCTGGAGCTGTCGGAGGTGCTGACACCCACCTGCAGTGCTGACTCAATGGGTTTGTTCTTTGAACAGATGTGTTTTTTTTTTTTTGAGACGGAGTCTCGCTCTGTCACCCAGGCTGGAGTGCAGTGGCCGGATGTCAGCTCACTGCAAGCTCCGCCTCCCGGGTTCACGCCATTCTCCTGCCTCAGCCTCCCGAGTAGCTGGGACTACAGGCGCCCGCCACCTCGCCCGGCTAGTTTTTTGTATTTTTTAGTAGAGACGGGGTTTCACCGTGTTAACCAGGATGGTCTTGATCTCCCGACCGAACAGAGGTGTTTTTAAAGGGTACAAGCACACCTGTGGTTCTTCTAGCAGGTCTTCCAGAGAGATTCAGGAGGCAGGGTCATGAGTCCGAGGGACTCTGGGATTCTTACCTTCTGCAAAATATCCCGCAGCAGCTCAGAATCTGATGAGTCTCTTAACTTTGCTTCTAAGCTCTGTGTGGAGGGGAGAGAGAAATCTCAAGGGCGCATTCACGGGAACATTAAACACGCAATAGAATGTGCTGGCAAAGCGTTGTGTGATCTCTCCCTGGGGACGTGGAGCCAGTTGGAAGTGGAAGCCACAGCGGCTGAAAGCCTGACCTTCAGATGTTGCAGGGTGCACCTGGATGAGTCACAGGAAGAAGGCTAGAAGACTGTCTCTTGGCCGCATTAGTCCTGGCTACTTAGCTGCCACCTGGGTCATGGGCCACCTCCCTGGTTGCACGGGTCAGCCAGGAATTACCAGGGCAGCCATGGCACCAGGGTTTGATGGGCTTGCCATCTGCGTTAAAGTGGAAATGCAGAATGTGCCTGGATCAGCCTGGATTACATTGTCCTCTTACAGCGGCCTCAAGCCCAGCAATGAGCTTTGGCTCCCGAGTTAGGCAGTTCATATGTGTCTTGGCTCATATGTGACACAGGGCAAGGCACTTCATTGCTTCAGAGCTCCTTCCATGCCGTAAAAGGCCCTACAACACCTGGTCCTAATCCCTCTCTCTGGCCTGTTCTCCCTCACCCTTTGCCCACCCTGCTCACTCCACTCCAGCTACACTGGCTGCTTTGCTGTTGTTCCTCAACCACCGCTGGCTTGTTCCACCACAAGGCCTTTGCATATCCCGTTCCCCAAGCCGTTCCCATGCCTGACTGCTTCACCACTCAGGCCCCAGTTCAAATGTCACCTCTTTGAGGAAGGCTTCCCTGATTCCCTGACTTTGGTGACTCTTCTCCCCAGTTGCTCCATTCACCATTTCCCTGTTTTATTGGCTTTAAAGCCACTTCTGGTCTTTTCTTGTTTATTCATTTATTTGTTTATTCTCTGGCTCTCCCATGCAAGCAGAGCCTCATCTGTCATGGGTACTGCTGATCCATGGTGCCTGGCTCACGGAAGGCATTTATTAAACATTTGGAGACTGAATAAAAACACTACTTAACACCAACATGCATTTCCCATGAGCTAGGCACTGATCCACAGGCTTTTGTACTCAACCCTGAGAGGTAGGTGTCATTCTATCCCCCATTTTATTAATAAGAAAACAATAGCACACAGAGATGCAGTCACTTGCCCAAGGTCACACAGGGCCAGGGACTGGGCCAGGATTCGAAGCAGGCAGGCTGCCTCCTGGGTCTGAACTCTCAACTACTGCACCCGAATCAAACAATCCCTCTGGTCAAATGTGAGTGATAACAATAGTACCCACCTCGTGGGTGTTCAGGGTGAGCCCATCAGCATTCAGCGTGGGCATGTGAACAAATTATAGTCAACACTGAATGGAGACCTATGATGCTTTTATGAAGGTTTCTATTTTGGGTTAAAAATGCACAAATTTCTCCAGACCAGAAATGATCTCTGAGTGCTAAATATTTTATGTCAATGGAATAACACAAATGATTAAGCACCACCCCATAAAATGGGGCAGACCCAGGGAGGAATAGATATCCAAACTGCCTCATCCCAGTGAGCTCACCGCACATGAATTACAAATGGGGCCGGGTGCATTAAGCCCCTCTGCTGGCAGAAGGGAGGCTGCTGCCTGCCATGAGCCTGTGCTGTGGATGGCAGGTCCCCAGGGCGACGAGAGGCCACCCCCTCCCTTCTCTGTCTCTTCCATCACAGGCGTGAGAGCCTCAGCGCATGAGCCGATTCTGTGCAGTGCTCGATGTACAGATGAGAACACTAAGCCACGAGGGACAGCCTGTGATCTGGTCACCGCGCTCGGGAGAACGTGGTTACCCGCGGTCCTGAGGGCGCTGACTTTTTAGAATGGGCGAGGGCAGCTGTGTCCCAGTGACCAGAACGATTACTGCCTTTAAAAAGTCGTGAAAACGATCGTGAACTGTACCCCACACCGAGCGCGCGTCGGCCCCCAGCCGACCGTGGAGCCGCCCCCAGCCTCCGCCGCAGGAGGGGTGCGAGCGACTCTGGCCAGGCCCCGGGGACGGGGACCGGGACGCGCGGCCCTGAGTGTCGGGAGCCCAGGCACTCACGTGGCGGGAGCGCCGGGGGCTTCAGCACGGAGACCCGTCCCGTCTGCCCCTGGACTCCCCCGCGCCCCGCGGGCCTCTCCGCGCTCCCCGCCGCCCACCTGCCAGGGGAAGGAGCGCAGCGCGCGCGCCGCCAGGAAGCGGCGCTCGAAACTCTGCAGCAAGAGTTCGGTCCCCGCATCCTCCTCCGGCGCCATGACGTGGGCGGGGCCGCGGCGTTGCTGGGAGACCGGGCGGAAGCCGGCCCTGGACTGAAGAAGGGGCAGGCCCGAGGCAGTGAGTCGCGGCAGAGAGGGGGAGGGGCCCGGGGTAGGGCCAGGTGGAGCGACGTGGGGGCGGACCCGGGGGCGGACCCTGAGGCGGGGCCCGGGGTGGGGCCAGGATGAGTGCCAAGAGGGCGAGGCCTGGGGTAGGGCCAGGATAAGCGTTGTTGGGGCAGGTCCTGGGGCGGGACCAGGATAGGGCGATCCTGGAAGCGGGGCTTCGGAAACGTCCAGGTTGGTGGCGTCCTGGAGGCGGGGCCTTGCGTGGGGGCAGGATAAGAGTCCTGGAGGCGGGCATTAGGGCGGGGCTAAACGATGATTGGGTTCAGCAGGTGGGACTCGGAGCAGAGCCCAGTAGACAGGTCTTAGGGCGGGGCTAAGGCCAGACCAAGAGAAGGGCTCCGGAGGCGGGGCCGGGGCGGGCGTTGACTCTGTCGTAGTACACGGCCAGGGCCCGGGTTCCGGGAGGCGGGGCCGAGTCCGGATTGTGGGCTGCGCTCAGGAGGCGGGCCCTGGGGCGTGGCCAGGCGCAGTTCCGTCCCTGGGAGGCGGAGCTTAGGGAGGGGCCGGTACGGGGAGGGACTCAGGGCCTGGGAGGCCGGTCCGGGCTGGGCTCAGGGGCCTAGACGGAGCTGGGCTTGGGGCGAGGCCGAGACGGAGCGAGGCGTCCAGGGTGTGGGCAGCGGGGAGGAGTTTGAAGAGAGGGTTGGAGTGTGGCTCAAGTTCGGGAGGCGATACCTGGGGAGGGTTTGAGGCAGGCCCAGGAGCGGGGCCTTGGTCGGCCGAGGCGGGGCCAGGGGCGGGACCCAGGATTCGAAGCTTCGGGCGGGGCCGAGTCTGGGGTTGGGGTCCAGGAGGCGGGGCAGGTTAGGGCGAGGGTCCCTGGGATCGTCGGGTCAGGCCTTGGGCCAACATTGGCGCTCTCGCAGTTCCGGCGCCTTCAGGAAGCTCTTTTTGGCAGGGGCCTTACGGGTGCGCGCTTCGTTGCGGGAGGCCTTATCCTACCCTCTTTTCTATCAGCGCCACCCCTCTGGGGCCCGGCAGGAGCGAGCTTTTCCCCTGTCCCCCAGCCTTTGGACTGTCACCGGACAAGCCAGTCATTCACCAAATACTTATTAAGCGCCTACGATGTGCCTGGCAAGGGAGATGTAACAGTGAGAAAAACTAGGTGTGGTCCAGGCCCTCCAGGAGCTCAGGGGCTCGTGGAAGAAGTGGACATTGAAGTAATTATCACACAAATAAGCATAAAAGTATAATAGCGATATCTGCCACGAAGGCGAGCACACAGAGCTAGCAGGGCTTCCAGGAGGAGTTTTGATCTTGCAGGGACAGGAAGGGACAGGACGCGGTGGGATGGGGGTAGTGGTGATATAGACGTGGGGACAGAGTGGAAAACAACAACAAAAACATAATTATTTTAGTTCAAAGTTATTGTGTCTTGAGTTGAAAGGCAGGGCAGTTAGCAACACAGTTCAGATTTCAGTACCGCCCCTGAAATCTGAACTGTGTTCAAAGTCTGAAACGTTTACCTTAGCAAATCCCTCATAAAACTCCATTTGGAAGAGTCCCGAGAGCTAATTTGTTAAGTATACTTGCAGAAGGTAGATGAGGAGACAGATTAAATCTTATTACCTCTTTCAGATGAGAGGCACTTGAGCCCTGCTCAGCTATGAGAATAAGAGAGGGGAATTAATTCTAATTGAATACACTTGTTCTCTCATGGCTGTTGTTCCCCACCAGAACCAAATGAGCGCAAGATCTGACAAAAAAAAAAAAAAAAAAAAAAAGTTCATCTTTTATTCCTCCAAACACTTTCATTTAAATCAAGAGGGTGGGATGTAGTTATTGCTGTGCTTTTAGACAAAATTAACGGTTTCTGGGTCTGAGATGTTGCATACACCCTCTCAATCCCTGTATCCTGAGATGGAGTCCCCTGAGAATCCACAGCAAGTCCTAACCAGGGATGGGTCTGGGTGATTCAGGAAAGTTGGCTTCAGAACTGGGCGAGGGACACTGCTTTGCTTTTGCTGTTTTGATCAGCTCTCTGCCTGCAGGAGACAAGGAAAACCAATGGGAACAGGTTAGTTACACTCATAAATCCTGGGCTTATTTTATTAACTCACATAATAGCTATTAATTGCCTTTCCTCCAAGGAGCAAAAGGGGATATACGGTCAATGCCATAGTAAGTAACACTGTATTATGTTATACTAAACTATTAATAAATCTAGGTTGGTTCAGTCTTTCCTGATTCGATAGATTGGAAGCAGATTGAGGAAGGACTCTAGCGAACCACAGAGCTGAGCCATGCACACAGAAGAAATCTCTTTTTTTTTTTTTGAGACGGAGTTTTGCTCTTGTTGCCCAGGCTGGAGTGCAATGGCGTGATCTCAGCTCACTGCAACCTCCACCTCCCAGGTTCAAGCAATTCTCTTGCCTCAGCCTCCTGAGTGGCTGGGATTGCAGGCGTGAGCCACCATGCTGGGCTATTTTTGTATTTTTGGTAAAGACGGGATTTTAACACATTGGCCAGGCTGGTCTCAAATTCCTTGGCCTCCCAAAGTGCTGGGATTACAGGTGTGAGCCACCGCGCCTGGCCAGAAGGAATCTTTATCTCGGTGTGTGGGCTCTGGTGAGGTACAAATGTCATCTCTCTTGGATCTGAATCTGGAGGGATCAAGGCACTGAAGGGATTTTTTTGTTTGTTTGTTTGTTTGAGACAGAGTCTCCCTCTGTTGCCAGGCTGGAGCGCAGTGGCACGATCTCCGCTCACTGCAGCCTCTGCCTCCCGCGCTCAAGCCATTCTCCTGCCTCAGCCTCCAGAGTAACTGGGACTATAGGCACGCATCACCACGCCCAGCTAATTTTTGTATTTTTAGTAGAGATGGGCGTTTTACCATGTTGGCCAGGACGGTCTGGATCTCTTGGTCTCCCAAAGTACTGGGAATACAGGCATGAGCCACCGCGCCCGGCCTCACTGAAGGGATTTTTAATGTCACGTGGCTCTCACAGGTGCGGTGTGTTCAGGTGCAAGTGAAGATTAGGACTGATGTTTAAAACCAAAAGTAAAATTCCAGGTGGTGTTGCTATGGAGAGCAGCATTAGGACAATCTGAGTGGTTTCAGTTGCAAGAGTATGTGTGTACGTGCAAGAACTACAGTCAAGATCCAACTTCTGGCTTTGAGGCTCTCTTTAATAACAGTGAGAACAACCTAAGGCATTGTAACAGTGTGGAATGGTTGCCTTTTAGAAATTAAGCTGTGGGCATGGAAGTTCAATCAGTACATTGAAGTTTTTCCTTTCTCTCTCCTATGGTTAATGGTTTCTGCAGAAAAGGACCAATTGATTTCTTTCTAAAACATTGCTTCAGGGTGTAGAGACCTTTATAGGTCATGTTTCAACTTATAGAAAATTTTTATAGTTCAAATATAAATTACATTCAATGTGGACTTTGTAATAGAATTTAAGGTTAAGTAAAGTTTCCACTTTCCTTAGGCTGTTTGCAGTGGCCAGCAGGCCCCATGATATCGAGATGGAAGCTATGTTAAAGGAGGAGACTGGTCAGGAGTGGGCGGAATAAGAAATACGGGCAGCTCAGGCTAATCACACAATGATTGAGGTGTAGAGAGAGGGCCAGGCATGGGATAACGCCTGTAATCCCAGTGCTTTGGGAGGCCAAGGCAAGAGGAACGCTTGAGGTCAGAACAGCCTGGTCAACAGAGTGAGACCTCATCTGTACAAAAAAAAAAAAAATTAAAAAAATTAGTTGGGCATAGTGGTGTGCGCCTGTAGTCTCAGCCACGTGGGAGGCTGAGGTCGGGGATCCCTTGAGCCCAGGAGTTTGAGGCTGCAGTGAGCGATAATCACTTCCTGTACTCCAGCCTGGGTGACAGGGTGAGGCCCTGGCTCAAAAAAAAATTGTATCCCCTAAAAACATAAATTGGAAATCTTAATCCTCGATACCTAGGAATAGGACCTCATTTGGAAATAGGGTCTTTGTAGATGTCATCAAGTAATGATGGGTCATACTGGATTGGGGGCTGGTGAGGGGACAGATGCAATGACTGGTGTCCTTATAAAAGAAGAGAATGAGGGCTGGGCATGGTGGCTCATGCCTGTAATCCCAGCACTTTGGGTGGGTGAGGTGGGCAGACCACTTGAGGTCAGGAGTTTGAGACCAGCCTGGCCAACGTGGTGAAACTCCATCTCTACTAAAAATACAAAATTAGCCAGGCATGGTGGTGGGCGCCTGTAATCCCAGCTACTGGGAGGCTGAGGTAGGAGAATCACTTGAACCTGGGAAGCGGCGGTTGCAGTGAGCCAAGATTGTGCCTCTGCACTCCAGCCTGGGTGACAGAGGGAAACTCCATCTCAAAAAAAGTAAAATAAAAGAGGAGAATGTCAGGTGAAGACAGAGACGCAGGGAGAAGGCAGCCATGTGATGAGGTAAGAGATTGGAGTGATGCATTTACAAGGAACACCAAGCATTGCCGGGCGCCACCGGAAGCCAGAAGAAGCAAGGAAGGATTCTCTCTGACACGTTTCAGCGGGAGCGAAGTCCGGCCGACACCTTGATTTTGGACTTTGCAGCATCCAGGCCTGCAAGACAACACATTTCTGCTATCTCGGCTCACTGCAACCTCTGCCTCCTAGGTTCAAGCGATTCTCCTGCTTCAGCCTCTGGAGTAGCTGGGATTACAGGCATGCACCACCTCACCCAGCTAAGTTTTGTATTTTTAGTAGAGGTGGAGTTTCACCACGTTGGCTGGGCTGGTCTCAAACTCCTGACCTCAAGTGATCCACCCGTCCACCCGCCGGCCTCCCAAAGTGCTAGGATTACAGGTGTGAGCCACCGCACCCAACCTTGTGGTTATTTTTTTAGACAAGATCCCACTCCGTCATCCAGGCTGGAGTGTAGTGGTACAGTCTCAGCTCCTGCAGCCTCGACCTCCTTGGGCTCAGGTGATTTTCCCATTTCAGCCTCCCGAGTAACTGGGACTACATGCTTGGCTAATTTTTATATTTTCTGTAGAGTTGGGGTCTTGCTATGTTGCCCAGGCTGGTCTCAAACTCCTTGGGCTCAAGTCATCTGCCTGCCTTGGCCTCCCAAAGTGCTAGGATTACAGGCATGAGCCACTGTCCCTGGCAACCCTTGTTAAAAAATAAAGAATTTCAAGATGGCAATGGCAGATTATTAAACCACAATGAGGACTCTTCCGTGTCCTTGTGGGACTGTCCAGGTTGTAAGCCCATGAAGCCGGCCCTGGCTGCTGGGTTCTTGGAGCGCTGGCCCTCCCGTGGCATGTGGCAAGGAGTTGTCATGGGTTATCATGACGTATGACGATGAACTACAGGAGACCCAAAGAGACCATTCACTCCTTTTTCCGACGAATGGCTGTGTATGCCACACTAGTGACAAACAGAACCGCAAGAGCCCCTGTGACAATGCTGAGCCCGATCACTGCGCCTTGTGGAGCAGATGCCCTCTGTACCTCCGCTCCTGTTAAGAAACCAGAGGGTTTTTAATTGCCTGATTATTAAGAAGCTGTTCCGGCTGCTCCTGGTTCCCTGGGAAGTTTCCCATCTAGCCGCTAGTGAGTATTAATTATGGAAATGAAATGTACATTTAAACCCAGAAAATGCACACTGTAGAGAAATCTCATAGGGCAAGTCGTTGAAAGCCGATTTACTAAATGACCTCTTCGCCAAATGACCCATTTGCCTAATGACCACTTTGCCAAATGATCAATTTGCTAAAAGCCCATTCGCTGAAAATCGGTTTGTGGGATGTCTTGCTTATCAGTAACTGACAGTCAGACGCAGCTTGTCCCAGGCTCCCAATGGGATGTGGGACAGGGGAGGGGCTACAAAACAGTTGTGGCAAAACTCCAAAACTTAAAAAGAAGAAAAATCCTCCATAATTGGGTGAATTGGTCATTCATTTAATTAGTTTTCTACAAAAGGGACTGCTTCCTGTATGTTCAAGAGGAGATCATGGGCAGTGGCTTACAAGAAGAGAAAGGATGAATATCATCCCAGCCCTCCTCTCTTTTCCTTTGTTTTTAGAGGCAGGAATTGGAGTGCAGTAGTGCAATCATAGCTCACTGCAGCCTCAGACTCCTGGGTTCAAGCGATCCTCCCACCTCAGCCTCTCCAGTACCTGGGACTACAGGCGTGTGACACTACGCCCAGCTAATTTTTTGTAGAGACAGGGTCTCACTATGTTGTCCAGGCTGGTCTCAAGCCCCTGACCCCAAGTGATCCTCCTACCCCGTCCTCCCAAAGTCCTGGGATTACAAGTATGAGCCACTGTGCCCAGCCCATTACTCCTTTTTGCATGTAATTGCTTTAAGCACTGGTTAGATCACCGGACAGTATCCAAGCCTCTCCTGGCAAAAGGAAAGATAGCCAGTGTTTGTAAACAACCCACAAAAGAAGGCAACAGCAAATTCTCAGAGATGATTTTATTCTCCTTTATATCACCCAGATTGAAAGGGTTTGAAGTCTTAAGAATTTGCAGTCTCAGACTCTCCCCTCTTGTTTTTTCAGCATCAAGTGGAACAGCAGGGTTTTGCTCCTCCCCTGTGAACAGCTTTCTGTGCTACTAAAGGAGGCTGGTTTCTGTATCTGAAAGGGGCGTCTTGGGGGCAGACTGTGCACAGTGATTTCCTGAGGACCGGAAGGATTACAGCCCGACTTTCTCTATAGAGCGCCTTCCCTTTGCCTAAAAGGCGCTATGTAAAATGTTCCCAGCAGGTCGAGGGATTCCCTACCTCCGCTGCTGTCTGGAGCTGTTGGCTTCTTGTTCCTGGGGCTCCAAAGCTGCTGGTAAACAGGATTATTCTGCTTGAATTCCCTCCTGCCCACCTTTTTTTGATTCTTTTCTACCTCAGGCCAGAGCAGACTATGCTGACAGTTTTCTGGTGGCTGCTTCTGTATCTCACCTGGCTGCTGGTTGTAAGAGTTCACAAGCGTTTCCTGGGTGACCACCAGGAAGCCATTGTGGGTTTGGGGGTGACTCCCAGGAGCTTACACATGAATGGGTAGATGTGGATGCTGTTAAAAGGCTTGGCCAGGCATTTCTTCTTGAAATCTGGCCCGAAAATTCTGAATATGGTCTTCATATCCATGAGGATATTATCAAAGCCATGGCTGCCTTTGTTGAAATACATTCTCTGAAAAATAATAACAATAAAAAAGCCATTTTAGATTCCAGTCCCCTGAAAGAAAACCGTCCCTTAGTTAATGTCGTACTTGTTGGATCCATGAAGTCTTTGAAAATTTAAACTCCAAGGACACTGCTCTCTGTGGTGGTGGAGAGAATACTAAGGATTTACAGGTCTTTAAGAAAGAGAATGTAGAAAGCGTACCCATTGGAAACAGCAAGATGATGATAATCATACTGACAGTAATAATAAGCTCAAACATATAGAGCTTACTATGTATCATGAATTGTTCTGAATGCTTTATAAATATATGTGAACTCCTTTACCCTCATGGCAGCCCAGTAAGGGCGCCATTCCTCATTTTACAGCTGGGGAAACTGAGTCACAGAGCTTGTCTGCACTGAGTCATCAGGAACAAATGCTAGATCAGGTAACTGAACGCAGGCAATCTTGTTCCAGAGCCAAATAGATGTATTTTTATGGCATAAAAAGATATACATACGTTTTTAGGGGGAGAATGGGGGTAGGATGGGATGAGGATTCTGAGTAATTGCTTGGTAAATGCCAAATACCTTTCTTGTCTGTCCCTCTTTTCAAATGATAAAGTAATGTCAATTGCAACATTTTTTTTTTTAAAGAGCCAATGTCTGGCTGGAGTACAGTGATATAGTCATAGCTCACTGCAGCCTCAAATTCCTGGGCTCAAGCAATCCACCTATAACAGCCTCTCAAGTAGTTGGGGCTACAGGCCTGCACTACTCTGCCCAGCAAATTATTTTATTTTTTTGTAGAGATGGCAGGTGGTGCTGGGGGAGTCTCGCTATGTTGCCCGGGCTGATCTCGAACTCTTGACCTCAAGTGAACCTCCTGCCCCAGCCCCACAGAGCTCTGAGATCATAGGCATGAGCCACTGTGGCCGGCTACAATACTGTTTATTTATATTTTAGACCAACAGATATTCTAACATATAAGAAATGTGATGCTCTCTGTACATTGAAAGTTGGTCTAATATTTGCCCTGGTGGATACAGAAATTGCCTGTCTGCTCAGCTCTGGTTGAGGAAACTGGTCCGACTGTCTCTGAGGCTGTGGGGCAGTCCATCAAGAATGAATGCCCTCGGCCAGGCACGGTGGCTCACACCTGTAATCCCAGCACTTTAGGAGACCGAGGCAGGCAGATCGCTTGAGCTCAGGAGTTTGAGACCAGCATGGCCAACATGGTGAAATCCTGTCTCTGCAAGAAATAGAAAAATTAGCTGGGCACGTGCCTGTAATCCCAGCTACTCAGGAGGCTGAGGCGGGAGACTCGCTTGAACCGGGTGGGCGGAGGTTGCAGTCTCCGGAGACTGCACCACTGCACTCCAGCCTGGGCGAAAGAGTGAGACTGTCTCAGGAAAAAAAAAAAAAAAAGAAGGCATGTCCTCATGATGGCCTCAAGCACCTCGGTCCCTGAAGAGAGACAAGGAAAACCCACTGTACTCTGCACTGCGAAGCAGGTAGGTAGACAGAAATCTGACGGGTGGATTCAGTGAGAGGCACTGACCCAAAGGATTTTCTGCCTAATGGTCGGTTCAGCAGAAAATTAAACTGAGCACAGCATCCTGTTCGCTGAAACGATCTGGTTGGTCAGTGGGGAATGTTCTTGTCTCGTTAAATGTCGTCATGCTACTGTTAAGCTGTCCTGTTACAAAAGGTCATAAACCAGGTTTACAAATAGGCCAGGTGACTGTGGAATTTCTCCTTGGCAAGGCCTTCGCTGTGGGCGTGCGATTGGTGTCCGTTAATTACAGTGTTCTGGGCCACTTGAGGGATAAAATATACCTTAGGTGATAAATTGTTGTATTTTATTGTGACTATTTCCACCAACATTAAACAGTAACCCCATGAGTTTTCTCATACTTGATACGCTCTGGAGTTGCAACAAGCTAACGTGAAGCAAGCAAGTTGCAAACATAATGATCACATGTGGCTCCTGTTCACAGCAAGGGTTCTTCAGGCTGTACCTGGGGCAGTTTTCCCTCACATGAGGTTCATAACGTCATTTATTTAATTAATTAATTATTTATTTTTTGAGACGAAGTTTGGCCCTGTCGCCCACGCTGGAGTGCAATGGCACGATCTTGACTCACTGCAACCTCCACCTGCCAGGTTGAAGCGATTCTCCTGCCTCAGCCTCCCGAGTAGCTGGGGTTTCAGGCACCCGCCACCATGTTCGGCTAATTTTTGTATTTTTAGGAGAGACGGGGTTTCACCACGTTGACCAGGCTGGTCTCAAACTCCTGACCTCAGGTAATTCACCCTCCTCGGCCTCCCAAAGTGTTGGGATTACTGGCGTGAGCCACCGCGCCGGGCTGTAGCATCATTTAAACTTTGTTTCTGCCATGAATTGTTAAGTTGGTAGTTAACAAAAAATAGACCACCTCGTTTATGTGCCACAGTTAGCATTGGTTTTTGTGTTTTCTTATGCTTGTTTTTAAATTGATTTTAAAATTGTGAAATAGGGTCTTGTTCTGTTGCTCAGGCCAGAGTGCAGTGATACAGTCTTGGCTCACTGCAGCCTCAACCTCGTGGGCTCAAGCAGTCCTGCCACTTTAGCCTCCTCAGTAGCTGGGACTACAAACACGAGCCACCACAGCTGGCTAAGTTTTAATTTTGTAATTAATTAATTTTCTTTTTTTGAGATGGAGTTTCGCTCTGTCGCCCAGCAGGTTGGAGTGCAGTGGCGTAATCTCAACTCACTGCAACCTCCACCTCTCAGGTTCAAGCGATTCTCCTGCCTCAGCCTCGGCACTCACCCCCATGCCTGCCTAATATTTTAAAAAAATATTTTTAGTAGCAACAGGGTTTCACCATGTTGGCCAGGCTAGTCTTGAACTCTTGACCTCAAGTGATCCACCCACCTTGACCTCCCAAACTGCTGGGATTACAGGCGTGAGCCACCACACTAAGCCTAATTTTTAAATTTTTTGTAGAGACTGGGTTTTGCCACGTTGTCTAGGCGGGTCTTGAACTCCTGGGCTCAAGTGATGCTCCTGCCTTGGCCTCTCAAAGTACTGGCCCTTATGCCTGGCCCTTAAAGTTGCTTTTTAATAACAGCTTTTATTGAAAGCTGATTCACCTACCATAAATTTACCCATTTAAAGTGTACAATTTGGCCCGGCATGGTGGCTCACGCTTGTAATCCCAGCACTTTGGGAGGCTTAGGTGGGAGAATCGCTTGAACCCAAGTGTTTGAGACCAGCAACATGGCAAAACCCTGTCTCGACCAAAAATACAAAAAAAAATTAGCTGGGCGTGGTGGTGTGTGTCTGTAGTCCCAGCTCCTCAGGAGGCTGAAGTGGGAGGATGGTTCAAGCCCAGGAGGTGGAGGGTGCAGTGAGTTGACACTCCAGCCTGGGCAACAGAGCCAGACCCTGTCTCTAAATAAATAAATAAATAAATAAAGTGTATAATTCAGTGGTTTTTAATATATTCACAGAGTTGTGCAGCTATCACCACCACCAAATTTAGAAATTTTCGTTACCCTGAAAGAAATCCTGTATCCATTAGCAGTTACCCCTCATTTCCCCCTGAGTACCCCCACCCCTGGCTCCTGGCAACCACTAATCTACTTTCTGTTTCTTTGGATTTTCATATTCTGGGCATATATATATAAATAGAATCATCTAATATTTGTCCTTTGGTGTCTGGCGTCTTTCACTTAGCCTGATGGTCTCAAGGTGTATCCAGCTTGCAGCAGGAATCAGCCCTTCCCTCCATATTTTGGTTGATTAATGTTCCGTCACACGGGTAGACCGGACTTGTTTGCCCATTCATCTGTTGTTGATGGGCGTTTGTGTTGTTGCCACCTTTTGACAATTATGAATAATTTTGCTATGAGCATCTGTGTGTCTTTGTATGAACAGGCTTGCATATTTTTTTGATATGAGCAAATGAGAACCAGTGGTGGGGGGCCTTTGGGGTGAATTTTTTGGTGATCTGTGTATACTGTGTATAATGATCAGTCAGCAGGCTTGGGGGCAGCCCTTAACCTTACATTTCTTTCCTTTTTTTTTTTTTTAAGATAGGGTCTCTCTCTGCCACCCAGGCCAGAGTACAGTTGACACAGGGCAGGGGAGCCCCGAAGTGGAGCATAGCACCTGAGGGTTCTTGGCTTTGCCCAGGAAAGAATTCAAGGGCAAGCCGGAGGTGTAGAAGAAAACAGCTTGATTGAGGAGGCAGCGTTAGAGCCCTGTGACTGCTCCTGCAGGGCATGGCTACCCTGGAGGCAGAGGGTAGCAGCAGAGAGTTTGCAATCACATTTCTACGCACTTTTAATTGCATGTAGATTAAAGGGCAGTTTATGCAGGAATTTCTAGAAAATGGGTAGTAACTTTTGAGTCACTGGGTCATCGCCATGGAAAGGGGCAGTAACTCCCGGATGTTGCCATGGCAATGGTAAGCTCACATGGTACACTTGGGGGCATGTCTGATGGAAAGCTGCATCCGCCCCAGCCCTGTTTGAGCTAGTCCTCAGTTTGGTCTGGTGTTGAAGCCCTGCCTCTAGAGTCAGGTCCTGCCTCCTATCTCAGTGGCGTGATTATGGCTCACTGCAGCCTCAACCCCCACCCGGGCTCAAGCAATCCTCCCACCTCAGCCTCCTGAGTTGCTGAGACCACAGGAACGTGCCACTATGCCCAGCTACATTTTTTTTGCATTTTTTGTAGAGATGGGGTTTCACTATGCTGCCCAGCATGGTCTCAAACTCGTGGGCTCAAGCAATCTACCTACCTCAGCCTTCTAAAGTGCTGGGATTGCAGGTGTGAGCCACTGCACTCAGCCCAACCTTACATTTTTAATCTTAAGTCACTTCTCTCTAGGTTTTGGTTTCTTCTTTAAA